GCCCACCCACCCCAAGCAGCTGCTGCTTCTCCCAAGGCCCCTCCTCCACAGCAGAGCAACATAAACCAACTGAAAAGAAGCCAAACTGGGCCAGATAAATCTCCATCCCCAAAACCAGAACCATCCCAAAGAACAGAACCATCCCCAAGGGCTGGTTGGGGACAGGGCAGTGGCCACACACCAGGCCAGCAGCTCCATCCTCAGCACCAGCTCTCAAACCAAACCAAACCAAACCAAACCCAAACGAACTGAAAGCAAAGCTGGAACAGGACCCGGTTGCAGCAGGGCTCACACGCCACTCCAGCAGCACCGGGGCTCGTGGCTCAGGTTCAGCTCATGGCACGGGCAGAGCGCTGCCTACGTCAGCCGGCACCCTGCAGCAGGAAGGGAAGCATCAGGCTCCGAGCAGCACCCCAACACCCCCTCCCTTTGCATCCTCTGCTTCCAACCAGGAATCCCACTCGGGCTCAGGGATCAAGGATCACATCTGGAGGATGAGGGGATGACCCTGCCTTTGTCCCCCCAAGCACCACACTCCCAGGAGATGCTCCAAGACTTCGGGAGGTTGGCACAGTACCGCGCAAGGACTCACCCAGCATCTGCAGAACCTGCAGCGCCACCGCAACCTTTGCCTCCTCGTGCCCGCTCCTGCCTGTCCCATCCTGACGGACCCACGTGAACCCCGTGAAGGGCACGGGGCACCCCGGGATCACCACCTGGCACCAGAACCGCAGCCACCCATTGGGGTTGGCCTGCATGCACTTGGTGAGGAACAGGGGGGGCCCCAGGTATTGGCTCCGGCACAGGGTGTTGAGGTGCTCCAGCGCGTTGTGCAGCACCGGAGAGGGAGGCGCCTGCTTGGGGGTCCCCGGGTGCTTGCCCCTGTGCACCCGGCTGGGCGATGGCTTCTCCTCGCACGACTGCAGCTTCTGCTTCAGGTCAGGGTTCAGCCAGTCCACCCTTATCGCCACCCCACTGAGCCTCATGTTCCCTAGGAGAGACCAGCAGCGGCTGGCAGGAGATGCTCAGGCACCAGCACCCCAGTATCACCCCATCCTGCCCCCAGCATCTGGCACAGTGACCCCCACAGGTGGTTTGGCACCAACCCACAGTCTATGAACTGCACAAGACCCTTTCCCCTGCCTCTACAACCCTTCAGGCAGCTATGGGGCAGTTGCTTCTTCATCTCCTTTGGCTACCAAGGTGGGCTCAGAGCTGCAAAGCTCAGGAGATTTTAGGAGCAACCTTTAGGGACAAGGTGCACAGACATCAAAGCCTGTTCTCTGAGCTGTTTCTCAGCTGGGGCAGAAGTGGGTACACACCAGGACTTTGAAGGTTCTGGGTGGATGTCTGGGAAACGTGTCCCAGGGTTCTGCAATCATGGGATGGGGCACTGAGGAGTAGGGAATCTTCATCAGAAGGGTAACTTGGTTAGAGCTCTGGATGCCCTGGATTGGTACTGGTGACGCTTCTGCCCTGAGTAGGCAGCTAAAGACCTGCAACAGTCCCTCAGCCCTACCAGCAGTAGGTCTGTGCTCCCCACTGAGGACAGCTGGCCTCCTATGGGACACAGGGGGAAAACAAAGGGTATCTCAAGGCTGAATTCACCCTGTGGCTGATCCGGAGGTGGAATCAGCCCTTAAAGACACCAGGAAGACCATCCCAACCAGCACCCCAACCTCCCACATACCTTCCATGAGGGTTTTCTTGGCCATGGCAGCAGCGTAGTGCGAGCTGTACTTCAGCACTGCGAGCTGCGCCCGCTGCTGGCCAGGGCTGGGCTGCAGGGTGACGCTGAGGATGCCCGGCGTGATGCGCCGCAGCACAGCCTCCAGCTCCCGCCGGCTCACCGAGGCTGCCAGCCCGTCCACACTGAGCTCACACTTCTCCGTGCTCTGGCACACCACGATGGCGCAACCCTCCCGCACCCTGAAGTTGTTGAAGGTGGCGATGGCCTCCTTGGCGGCGTGCTGGGTGCTGTACTTGGCGTAGGCGAAGCCCCGGTTGAGCCCACTGAAGGAAAATAGAGCGTCCCCACGCTCGTGAAGAGCGGGATCAGGGTGTGCTCGTACATGTCCTGCGGCAGCTTCCCGATGAACACCTCTGTGCCCGCCGGAGGGGGGTCGCCCACCCAGCCTGTGGGCACACAGTGGGCAAATGTGGGTGACATGTAACTCGCCACCAGGCACCCTATGTGCTATGCCCCCACAGCACTGAGATGCTATGCTCACGTACCTGGGGGTGGGCCACCATATCGCCTCTGCCCATTGATCTGCACCAAGTTGATGCCCGTTTCTTTCGCCCAGGCAAGCAGGGCCATTTTATTGGCCTGGTTGATGCTGTTGGTCCATGTCTGAAGAGAAAAATGATGATGGAGTTTGTCTGGGCAAAGAGTTTCCAACCTTCCAACAACTGCGGGTATCCCACCCCCATGGAGCAACTGCAAGGCCCGGCACCAGCCAGCATGTGGAGGAACAAATGGTGAAGTCCTCTGTCCTCAGGAAACGTGAGGAGCCTCTTGACACTGCACACCCAAAGCAGTACCCTACCCACTGTCCAAGCTTGCTCCACAGGGTGAATTCCAGCAACACAAGGCCAGGTTGGACACAGGGGCTTGGAGGAACCTGCTCTAGTGGCAGGTGTCCTTGCCTGTGGCAGGGGGTTGGAACTAGATGAGCTTTAAGGTCCTTCCAA